CGTAGACAGGTGCAGCCAGCATTCCTGAGTGCGCTTGTGGTCTGAAGCCACTCGGCGTAGGAGGTGATCGAGTCCCAGTGTCGACCATGAGTGGTGCTGAGATGTCGAAGAAGATTGGTAGAGCTGGTGGACTGAAGACATAGACCACAAATGTGGCCAAGCCTCCTCATGAGAGATTTGTAGCCTGTCATGTGATCGAAGGTGCCACCATGGAGTCCCGTGACAATGACAGGATGATGCCACAGCAAGGGAGGATCATCCGGAAGTGGAGCTTGGCAGTGTCCGCCGTCGATGTGATGCTTCAAGGCTGCAGAGAAACTCCTGGTCACAATGAGAGCATTGATTACGTCCAGGTACTTGGTCACGATCTGCCAGAAAGGTTCTGGCCGTAGTCGTGTGAGGATGCTCAAGTGCTTGGTGTTGATGGAGGCCAGCCATCGTGACAAACTTCCTGGGACACGAGGCACAGGAGAATTGAGCATCCATGCGCTGAACTGGTTGAGGAACCGGTGGAGGGCTCTCTGGACATTCAGCTCGGTGACGGCGGTCAGCAAGAGCCAGACCAAGTTGCTTCTTGACCGGACAGGTGTGCGTCCGGGACTTGAACTCCTGACCACACAAGTCGCAGGGTGATGGCATTCTGGCTCTAGTCACATTGGGAAGAACTTCACTCATCAAGTTGTAGGCCTCAGGGTGGTCCCTGCCCATGTGAGCAGACATCTGTTGAAGCCGTGCAGACCAGAAGCCACAGAGGATGCATCTCTGTGAGAGGAAGTAGCATAGCTCCCTGTCTTGCCTCAGTGGTTGAAGTTCTCCTTGATCGTGATAGGCCAGCAGCTGACGTCGATGTGCCAGAAGTTGCTCTGGAGGTGCCTTAGATGAGTCAAAGCTGGGACATGCATAGTGCTGGATGTGGTGAGTCAGATTCTGCCACGAGATGAATGGGTCCCCACAGTGCCGGCAGACCGGTTTGCCATGTATGGAGTCTCTAGCAATATCCAGGTTCGGACCAGCGGGTGGAACAATTCCATGTGAGTGCATCTCATGTCGACGAAGCGTGTAGAGATGACGAAAAGTCAAACCACATCTCGGGCAATCCAGTCCTGCCTCCGCGAGTGGGAGAGATGGAGCAAGGTCATGATCATCCAGTTCCTGCAGCCATGTGTGGGTTAGTTGAAGTGAGGTCTGCAGTCCTGTGGTGTCAATCTCACAAACAACATCATCTTGTGCAAGTGAGTCCAATCTGGCCTCATGCCGGGATAATTGCGCGGCCATGCGGTCGCGAAGCAAGATGACAGGGTGTCTGAGATTGTAACCGTTGAGAAAGTCTGCATGTTTGATGTGTGAGATGTACTGGTGGTCTCTCATCACTTGCCGAAGTTGAGGAAGAAGTGTCTTCGAAAACTGAGTGAGTGTGACGTGATCAACACCAGTTGAGTCCAAACCATAGAGTGCAATGGGAAGGACACACGTTTCCCACAAGGACAGCTTCTGAGCCGTGTGAGTCGTGGAGTTGCAAAACCATGGTTTCATCTGACGGTGTCGATGTGTACATGCTTTCAATCTCTTCTGCAATCTTCTGCATTGTTCCCCGCAACATTTGCTTGTATCCAACTGAAATCCCGAGATAGTCTTGGTGCTCCCGTAAGGGAATCTCATACTGTGTGTGGTGCTCTTTTGGAATCCGAAGCGTTGTCCCATGTTGAGACTGTTTGACAAAAGCCTTGTTGGCTTGTGCACGATCAGGGCCACGCCATTGGATGATTGCCGCTGATTTGGTAATGTTCACCTTCATACCCAGTCGTTCCAATATGTTGATGAGTCGTCCAAAGTAGGTAAGACCCCGTTGGAGTTCATCCCAGCTATGAAAAACAAAGCATGCATGACCATCATCCGCATAAAAAGTGCAGTGGTTCCTCATCCAATGAACATCAGTGTCAGCAGCCACATGTTCGAGGATCAGGGCAATGAAATAAGCCCAGAAAAAGGGCGCTCCACGACATCCTTGACGGATGCCTTTGGAATGGGCTGTTCAGCTTCCAATCCTTTCCATTGAACAATGTAGGCAGTTTCTGTGTGCCAAGTGAGAAGCAACAAAATGATATCTTCAGGAAGCTGAAGAAGTCTGACAGCATCTCTGAGGTGTTCACGAGGCATTGCATCAAAGGCCCCTGTGAGGTCTAGAAAAAGTTGACAGCCACCGTACACCTTAGGACGGGTTGCCCGGTCATTCACTGAAGCATTGGCATCATATTTCCAGCGAGCCAGCAGAGTTTGAACCTCGCGAACGTGGGAGGTGACTCTTGCTATTGCTTCCCATGTGCCACGTCCAGGTAGATAGGTAAACTGTGGATACCAAACCAACCCAGGAAGAGCAAAAAAAGCTTCGCATGTTGCACGAAAAGAGACATGATGGTTTTCGAAAGCGGAGTTTGTAGTGCAATTGGACGAAGAGCTTTTGGCTCTGCAGGAGGTTTGTTGGGCTTCGGAAGTAGAACAACCCAGCCTCTTCTCCATTCCTCAGGGATGTGGCCATGAGAAAGCCAGAAGGAGCACCATGAAGTCAGCAGAGGCCCAAGGTCTTCCGCCAGTGCCTTCCAAACAAAGCTTGGAGCAATGTGTTGTGGCACTCCCGTGTGAGAAGAAATGGTCTGAAGTGCCCTGGTCAGATCTGAGGCCTGAAAAGGAAGTGTCTGGAGACCAAATGAAGGAAGGTCCAGGTCAGTGCCCTGATAGAGTTCCTGCATATATTGTGTGATCCAGTCCAGTTCCTCCTGAGGTGACATCAAAGTGCCCTGCGAACGTCGAAGTTGAGGACGTTGTGCATGAGTCTTGGGCGTAAGGGTTTGAACCAGTTTGAAGTATTGATGACTCTTGTTCATGGCCCAGAGGTGTCGAGCAGCTTCGATGGTGTTGTTTAGCTTTAGGCGTTTGGCCTCCCTGGCTTTGTTTTTGGTGTTCCGTCTCCATCGGCTAACCTGAGTGTTTCTGAACCAAGCCACAAAGACCTTGTGGATCTGAGTTGCAGCCATGGGGACTTCCGGAAGAGCTCGAAGAGCTGGAAGATCTTGAGCCCACGGTCGAAGTGGTTGATACCTGAGAGCATGGCTGTCCATCGTCAGTGAGGTCTGTGGTCTGAATTGTTTACATGCTTCCATGATGGTGTTGTTCAGGGTCTCGATGGAGGGAGCCTGTGCGTGAAGTTGTCGAACAGTATCACCCAGGTCGGAGATCCATGAAGTCCAGAGATCACTTTCCTGTTCCCAGTGTTGCTGAAGAAGAGTCCGTGTCACTTTGGGAAGGCCCCTGTTGGGAGTTTTCCATGCCCGCCATTTGTAGGGGATGTTGTGCGTCATGGGGATGTGATCTTTGGTGTGACTAAAACGAAGAGGAAGCTGGTCCAGGTAGATCGGATGTTTGGCAAGGGAGTCACTGGTCTTGTGCCTAACCAAGATGTAGTCGATCCGGGAGGCAGACCCTCTGTTGCCCAGGAAAGTCGGTCCCAGAGAAGTGTCCCAAGTGTTGAGTGCAGTGAGTCCGTGGCGTCGAATCAGGTCACTGAACTTCCCGGAGTCAGGGTGTCTAGGACCTCGATGCCGGCCGGGTTTCATCGAGAAGTCACTCAGTCCAACACAGTGTGGGATGTGGTCCAAACCAGTGACCACCACATTGCGTCCTGGCAGCCCCTTGAGAGCCTGATCACAGAGTTGCCAGATCTCAGATCTGACTGAGAGACAGGCTTGGTCCTGAGTACTCCAGGCATGTTGATAGACGTTCAGGATGTCAATGGATGTGCAGGACATATAGAGTCTAACATGTAAGATGCGACCCTTCTTTCTCGCCAGCTGATCCGCTCCTGAGGACAGAAGGAGCGCCTCACAATTGTGAGAACACCGCCGGCCCAGCCGTTGAGTGGTCGTCCATCCAGTCCCCCGTGAACCCCCACCTGGTGTCTTGTATAGTGAGAACTGAAAGGGTTTGAGGGATCATCCATGTTTTCAAAATGTCCAACTTGTAGTTGCTAAGAGCTCCAATGTTCCAGTTGAATCCACTGAATCTGTTGGCCTTCAGCTTTGATCCCGGAGGTTTGGGACCTGTGGGTTTCTCGGTGGTGAGGACCTGAGGTGGGTTGTCAATTTGTGAGGTTCCAAGCATGGAGGCGCAGTACAGCTTTCCTCTGTACCAGGTCATACCATGCAGTTGAGCCCTCTTGAGAGCACGAAGAAAGGATTTCTTCCTAGAAAATGGTTGTACATCAGGGCGGTCTTGTTGGGGTCCAAGGCCACTGTGCTTTGCCCAATGAAAAAAGGGCTTCGGTGGTACGTTGTGGGCTTCACTGATACCCGTGGCGGCATCAGAACCCTCGGGCCTCCAGGGAGTGGCGTGTGGGTTGAGCGTGCTCACAAAAACTATGATGTAGAGAACCGCAGTTACAAAGAGGAGCACAAGAGGTTGAAATCTCTCCCTGGCCGGGGACTTGGGACCCCGGTGAGCTAGCAGGTTCCTACTGAGACCTTGGGAGGGCCAGCTTGGAGTCAAAAACCGTTGTCTCAAAGAGGAAGCACCGAACTGGTAGTTCACAAAAAGGAAAAGGAGGATGCTCAAAAACGCAGTGAAGAAGATCGACAACAGCAAAAAGGCCGCCAGTTGGTCTTGCCAGACCGAGTGCAGAGAGAACAACTTCGTCAAGGAGTCGTGGATCGGAATGTTCAAAAAGTCCTCCTTGACCATGTTCGAAGGGGGGGTTCCGCACTAGCTCCAGCTATTGGGCATAGCTGGAGCCTGATAGCTCATGGCCCTTATCATCATCATCATCATCATCATGACCTTGCCCACCCCGCTAGCCCAGTCGCAATAGGGTTGGCTGAGATGCACCATTCACAACCTTGCGCAGCAACATCGGTTGTTCAGTCGATTTGGCAGGTTCTTGGGACACTATATAGTGGGAATGTGATGGTGGTCATCAAGACCCTTTTCTTGTGATGTGCGCCAGAGCCAAGGTTTGTCCTCAGCATTCAGGAGAGCTGTGAGAAGCTATGGCATGGCAAGGTTGAGGTTTTGGAAGAGCACGGTCATGGCCAATGCCTTCGAACTTCCAAACCTCAGCCCTAAACAACCCAAAAAACAGCCCTAAACATCCCAAAAGCAACATCTCCCAAACCACCCCCGAAAAATGGTGTGTTGCGAGTCTGATGTGCTGATAGGGGTTGTGATTTTTCTTTGGGTTCGAATTGAGTGGACCTTATGACCTTATGCCTTCCAACCTGGCCCTGGCGGGTGAAAGCCACCCGGATGTTGCTTGGATTCAGATGCACAACCTACAGCCACGGAGGGTCGCATCGTATCGATTCACATCAGAATCTTCAGAATTACATTGGGATTGTAGACCTCAAGGGTCGCATCGATTGTTAGAGTTTGCTTAGCACTTTGTAGGACATTTGCCGCTTTGCTTTTTGCCATGCCATGGGTTCCCCTGAAAAAAAATGGGGCACATGGAGTCGTGGAGGGGCATTTTTGCAGAGCAGTCTTTGGAGAATGAGTGTCAGACTGGAGCACTGCCTGCGAGTCCAAGGGCAGGTGAGTTTACCAAGATCTAAGCCGTCCGCATGCTGATGCTCCTTGTGCTCCAGCCCCACTGTTTGTGGGTGCGCCCAAGCACCGGTTTGAGAAAAACATCACAGGCATTGGAAGGATTTCTGTACCTTTTGGGCAACACTGGAATCCACAACCAAATAACATGTTGGTCCATGTCATTGGTTGCTCCTAGTGAGCACTTAGCACTACTTAGTTCCCACTTAGCACCATCGAATTTGTATGGATGATTATGGGTGTGTGTTTGCACCTCATACTCGACTCACCTAACCTGCTCGTGGTTGCCAATGCCAACCTTGGGCTGCTCTTTGGGTCCAATTCATCGGGTTTAAGCACGCTCAACCAGACCAGGATTACAACTCACCAAATGTTTCTCCGACCCTTCGGAGCAACTTCCAACTTTCGCAACCGAACCGATCTCGAGTGAGCTATCCAGTCAGCCCTTACAGATCTCCTTTGTTTCCATTCAGCTCCACCTCCCACCTTTCCAACATGTAGCATGTTTTTATGGGCGGTGCCATAGTTATATTATTATTCCGGGGGCCCGTGTGACCTCTATGAATAAGATGTGTGTATAATTTTGACTGGAATTATTTTCTGACTTCTGGGTCAGCAAGGGGTGTAGAAAAAGGGGCCATTGGAATATGTTTGTTTGACAGACCCCCCCTCTACAGGCATGATGTGGAATAGTTATTGCCATCTTGCTGACATTGGTTTTTTCTCTCCTTGTGAGAGGGCTCATTGATGTGAAAATTACTGTATTCAGGCGTCACCTGGCCCGCGAACGCAGCCCTGTATACAGCCCACGACCTTTTTCCGGTACGTAGAATGCATCGAACAACGACAGGACACCTTTGGATCTCCCAGGTCCGGGAGGTGCGGTTCATTCTCCGTTGGTCTTACTCGAGCGCCTCGCGAGTCTCTCGAGTCTCGTCGGTCACACCCGCGGACGAGTCTCTCCAGCGGTGAAGGAGTTTGTCCAATTCCTCATCTACGCGTTTGGAGACGAGCTCGAGTTCGCTTGGGAGGAGGGAAACCGGTGAAGTCGAAGAAAAAAACAGAAGGATGACTAAAAGAGATGTACGAGAATTGAATACGCATGTCATATGCGAGTGTATTTTGATAGGGGGACCTTCCACTGTCTAGGGTGTTTGGTGGTTGTCCCTAATGTAAAAAATAGCCCTTTGCTTGACCAAAACACCTTTGTTTGAGGTAAATCATGCTCAGATAGTGCACCCAAAGCACTTGCACACAGGCCATCCACACAGGCGATTGCTTGCGATTGCTCTCCGAGTTCTTCAGGGGCTTCACCACGGGTCCCGGGACGCGCCGGGACGGCTCTTCCGCAGGAGTTGGATGACGATGGCTCTGGTGAGCTCTCAGAAGATGAATGGTTCGGTGCCGTGAAGCGCATAGGACTGAGCACCGTCGTGATGTCGCACGGGACTGTCTAGTTGTGACGTCGGGCGGGAAGTGTTGGGACGGCGCTAGGGAGGCCCATCCCAAGTTAGGATGTGAGTCAATGAAGTCCTTGTGGCGCATTGTTTGTAGATCGTTGGGCGGGCCACCCTATTAAAGTACTTTATCAAATGATGAGCCCCTAAGATGGACCTATCTAGGTCAGAGATTCCATGTCTTAAGTGCAGCGGCCCGATATGATGGTATAAGTGATGGTATAGTGATTTCAGCAACAGGTAGGCCACTTTTGGTGTCAAGGGGCGCCTGCTGATGGTCGTTGGCATGTGTTGAAGTGGGGTTTTGAGGGTAAGCCAAAGCAGGCAACAGGCAGGTGTTGAGAAGGTCGTCTAGGGAAAGGGCGATGGAGTTGGCACTACCACTGTCACTGTTAATTTGATTCAAGCCTTCACAACAGATCGCCATCGACGGCAACAGCTCTGGTACAGCCAGGCGATTCTCAGGTCGCGGGATAGCAATGAACATCTCAGAATGACCATCAGATTTGAAGGCCTCCAACAACTTGTACAACCTTTGAGCAACATTTGGCACCCCCCAAAAAGCCTGCACCCCTGGTGTCTTCTTCACGCCTGTCGTCCCACGCGGTGCGGAAGTCTTCACTTCCCCCCACTTCGAAGGATACTTCGGCCCGGCGCGGGTGGTCTTCGCTCTCCTGGACGGCTCGGACGATGGGAACATCTCCTGGGACGAGTTCAGTGAACTGGAGAAGTGACCGGGCGCACTGGAGAAGCCCGCCCAGCTAGGACGCGGGAGACGTCCGGGCGTGCTGGACGTGGGAGAAAGGCCATGTTAAGCGATTGATGAAGAAAAACCTGCACAGATGAGCCTTTAGGTGGTTTTAGATGCTAAATGGGGAGTTTGGTTGAATCTTCGCCTTGTTTTGGAGGGTGAGATCCGTGGCCTAAAAAGCGAGGCCTTTGAGGAAGGTAGGGTTTTCCATGGCCATGGTCATTTTCTCAGAGATTCGTAAGGTTTGAACGCAGGGTTCCGCGGGGTCTTATATTATGTATATATAAAACTGTATAAACTATAATGTGTCTTTACCCTTGTGGTTTGGGGCAACTCACCTTTTAAACCAGAATGAGGAACATGCCATTTTCTGAATGTTTCTGAACAGGTCGGGTCACAGAATTCTTTGTTTGTGAGGATGACTTCAGGGTTTTATGCATGCATCTTTGAGGAACTTGTGCTGAACTATACTAGTTATGTAGTGTGACGTAGAGGAAAGATCAGGAAAGTTTGAAGTTTTAATGAATTTGGAACTCCATAGTGTTTTGAGCAATCGCGGGAACCAGCATTCAATGTTCAATGCCACAAGGTCTAGTCCGAGTCGAGTGACTAGAACATACTACAGCCAAGAGGAACGCTCATTGGCAACCCCAGTTCTACTGAGCTTATGGTGCGATATAGTGCGACCCCTTCAAATTCCAGATCTCCGAGCACCAGACTTGGCCCTCCATATTTCCCCAGGTACCGCCCTCAGAAATTGAAGAAGAGCTGAGCTAGCTGGCCACTGAGCATCACCGAGAGCATGAGAGTACTCAGATGGGCCTCTATCGGAGGTGGTCTTAGCAAAAAAAGGAGTTGGAGAAGCCACTTAGCAATAAAAAGGACAATGGAACACATGGCTGCGTAGCGTGCTGATGAGTTCTATGAGGCCATCCTCCTGGCACCAAAGGTTTTCTTTTTACCAGGCCGAAATGAAGTTTCGTTCCTGACAGCCGGTCATACCGCTCCCCGAATGGGTGATGCATGGTGATGCCGAGTTGGGCAGTATAGTTGCGCTCTAAGCGCCACCTGCGAAACATGGACCGTGCCGCTGTGCTGCGCTCGGATTCCCAGGCGATGAGCACCTGAGAAACTCGGAAACAGGAAGCAAACTTGAATAACCCTTTTGGGCACTGGGATTAGTTTGGTGCCGGGGGCATGTTTGAGCAGACATATGCCAGGTGGTACCCCGACGAAATCCCTACTATACCTCCCCAAATATCACCAAATTCATGCAAGTGTCCCAGATACCGTCCAAAGAGTTGGGTCGAGCGATTTGGATAAAACCAGGTCCATGTGAAATTGGGACCAGGTCCATGTGCTTTGCTCGAGCGACCGATGGAGCCACTCAGGACGTCGTCGAGTACCAGGCGCGAGCGGCGCGAGCTGAGCTTGGGGAGCCCAGGAGGGAGCGAGCCGGGAGGTCAGGGAGGAGCTCCGACAAGTCCATGGGAAGCTCAAGAAGGATCAAGACTGAAGTCCGATGAATCAAGGAGGATCAAGCTGTAGACTTGGTTTCTAGTCACTACCATGAGGGAAAAACACATATGCTTTTCAATGGGTTTGCTACTCCGGGATGTGGCTTCAAAGGTCAGACCCTGGGGACATGACCCTGGAACATGCTGCAGCATAATCGGCATAATGCTTTCCATTTAGGTAGGGTTTGAAGGGCACCCAATTGATCGGAATGTGATGACTTGCATTCTCGCCTCGGAGCTGCTGCGTTTCTGAGGTCTGAGATGATTGATGGCACACCTGTCACAGTGCCCACCTCAGACGTGAATTGACAGTCAGATGGGTGGCAGGTCGTCATGTTGCTAACAGGATGTAGCAAGTGAAACATCGTGAAACCCATCAGGATTCTTGGCCACCATCTATTTGTACAGATCGTTCAGTCGGAATCCCGCGTCAGTCACCAGGCTTCGCGTCAGTCACCAGAGTTTGGAGTGGGCGAGGTCAGTTGAGCATAGCTCGGGTGGTGGCTTGTCCTGTCGATTGTGCTCAGCTGCATGGTCCAAAGCTTCGCACGGCAACGTTCAAAATCAGTGGAACAGGAAAAAGACACTCTACACTAGCACTTCCAAAGGAATGCTGAACTTGGAAGTCGGGGTGCCCATGTCACATCCCCAAGCGGATGGGATGGGACGAAGAAAAACAAGCCACCGAACTCCATGAACTCCCGGTAGGCCTTCAAATAAATATATAGTCTCCTTTCCAAGAGTATTTGCAGCCTTGGGAACTCGCAAGCTCTCGCAAGGACGTTAAACCTCCCCGCCTTGGCTGGGCAACTCCGGCTCGAAGCAAAAAGACAGGATTTTCTCGTTCACCCCAGCACATGGCGTCATGTGAACCCGGACGCGAACACCCGTGAAATACGTAATACATCTACCATCATTTACTCTATGAGGACGTGGCATTTGTGTCCAAAAAGCTGAGGCCGCTGAGCTGGACCTGGCGAAGAAGGCGCCCAGCCGACCTGCCGGAGATTGTTCCATCGACCTTCTTTCCTCGCCTCGGCTCGGCACCCTCAATCATGAGCCCAGTTCGTTTGGAAATTGCCTCAGTGGCAGAACATGCAGAACTCAGGAAATACCTAACCTTAGCGTAAAATTTCAGGGATAGTGCCACCTAGGTACCTACAGTATCTAGGGCAGGCTGTATCTCAGGAACATCCTGCCGAAGGATTTGAAACGAGAAATCGACCAGTCAGTGGCCAAGTGGCCAATGTGTACTTCCAGGTCAGTGAGAGAACAAAGAGTGTTCGACTTTCCATTCCCCAGTGGCCCGAATGTGAGTGATATTCTTGGAGCCGAAAGGAAACTTGGCAAGACGGCTTGTGGTCCGCGAACGGGACCCGCGAGGGGATTGTTGTGAGACCCGGAACGAACTTCAGTATCGGAGTTTAACCACCAATAGCTGCTGTATCGGAGTTTGGTTTTTGAGGTTGCTGGCTGGCGGTGTCCATAACTGGAGTTGCCCGTGCTGGGCTATTTGGTGTCCTGTTTGGATCGGCCATGACGACTCCATTGCCCATTGGCTAGTCGCCAGTGCATGGCGAAAACAGTGCTTCAAGATGTTCCAAGCAACTATACACTTGTTTTGGCCAAGGCTCCAGGTTCCTCCATAGCGCTTTGGCCAAGATACTTTAAGACGTTCCAATAGATGTGTTACTAGTAGCTTCTGAAGTGATGTTCATAGCAATGGCCTCCAATCTGCGACCGCGATGGCCTCCAACCTAGTGGCTTCTTGTTACTAGATGTTTCAAGATGTTTCAATCTAGATGTTTTTTTGTGCACCAGAGGCGAACCTGGTCGAAAAACCTGGAGCCTGAGTCCAGCCGCACGTCCGATCACGTCCGATCTCTGTCGCACGTGCCCCTCCATCGCTTAGTCTCCCGGTGGCATGACCCACCGGTATGTCAGGATGGTTCATGTTTTATTCTTGCAAAAAGTGTGGAGATCAGATACATCGTTTTCTACACGGTTTGTCAGCTGAACACGGTTTGTCATGTTCGTGTACACGAACACGTATCTACGTATCGTGTCTTCCATGTTCAGCGTCCGACCTTTGCAGCGGAGGACGCGGCGAAGGAGCGGCCGCGCTGCCAGCTGCCGCTGATGAAGTCACTCGACGTCGGGTGGACCCCCATGCGTCCACCTACGAAGCGTATCGGATCGTAGGACGATCATAGAGGACAGACATATATAGTACCACATGGGATGGAGTTCTTTCGGTTATATACAGACTCACTCCTATGTACATCGCCAACAATTGATACGTGCTTATACTGTAAGCATACTTGCCTCGATCATGTGACCCTTCGGACATCTCCATTGCGGTGGAAGGGTCTGAGGGTGACACTGGCACACAAGGCCTGAGACATGATGATTTGTTGCGTGAGCCGTTGTCGAAATTGCCCTGCAACATCATGCAACTAGAGCCCCGTAGGTCCGTCAAGAAAGTGGAGAACTGGTGAGTTCCCACAATTGTCTTCTAACCACCTTTGGTGCTTCTGGTGATTGATTGGAAGGTTTGATTGCAAAAGCCAACATAAAGCAACTAGACAACCCAACTCGTGCCATGCCGCCATGCCTACTCATTTGACTCATCATCCCATGGCCCAGCGACATCCCCACTATATAGGCCTCGTAAGAGCGCGGGGCGTGCGAGTTTGGACGTGCGCATCTTAGTTAAGCAGATCATGGGTTTTTAAGGGGCCGTGGATGTTCAATGAATGAGTCATTCATGAGGCTGTGATGATCCGGATGATCTGATCAGATCATTCTACAATTCAAAGACTTATAGGGTTTCCTCATAAACCTTGGAAGAACCTTCGAAAACCCTAGATCTTAGGCAGTTTTTAGCTGCCTAGGCCGACAGACCCATTTCTGGTACCAAGCCAAAACTTGCGTGTGGAATACTGTCTTTTTGACTCCTGCTTCCTCGATTCATCTTTCGTCTTGAGGCGCCAGCGTCGATGAGGCAGGGATTCAGAGTTTGTTGGCTCCTTCCAGGGATTTCCTGGCTCAGCCACCAGGCGACCGGAGAACAGACTGTACCGGATTCTCGTTTTTTTACACCAACCCCATGGGCAATCATGTGTCAAGTTTTGAAGATGGCAAGTGGATTTTGTTGAATCACAAGAAAACTGCCCTTTCTTCCAGGGGCATATGCCGCATTTGCCAATGTTGTTGTTCTTCCCCCAAGAGTTGCTGAAGTGGTAAGTGGTTTTCAGAAGGACCACCCTAATTGCACCAATCAATGGCCAAGCCATGGTTGAAATTCTCTTATAGATTCGTACACTGTCCGCCCCATCCACCTCTTGGAGCTTGTGTCATTGGTCATCCCACAGAAACAGATTTTCATTCCTCCTGCACAACGGGTGCTGTGATGTGTCTTTTGTTTGTTATGTGCGCTTTGTTGATGCTTTGCTGATTTGCTATGCTGATGCTATGCTCCTCTTGGGAGAATGCCATGGGTTGACCCCTCATTCAGAAAGGCACTGGGGGCCCTTTCGACCCGGCCAGGCGCCGGGCCGGTCCGATGCGCAGCCTGACTGGGCGGGCATCGCTGGAAGGGCAAAAGTGGTGCCGAGATCTGAAAACTCGTGAGAGAATGGAGACATCAGGAGACATCTATGACTGAATCGCATAATCTTGTTCCATCCACTCAGTGGTTTCACTCTGTTGACTGACCTTCCGGGGAAACCTTACCAAACCGTGATGCGGAAGTAGCGCACCTTGTATGCAGAAGTATCGTTTCTGGTCCGAGCTCAACTGACAACATGTCACCAAAGGTTGCTTGGGACCAACCTTTCGTCCAACCCACTTCTCTCAAGTTTGGTGCTTAGGTGCCTTTTGAATTGATGTTCCTTCACGTGCTTTGACCAGGGTTCTGCTCCTAGACACAGCTGCTATAGTCTCTAGAAAGCGCTCCCAAGGAGGCCAAGGGATATACAATGAGAAACACCTTGGGCATCCATTTTCAATGAAGTTGCTTGGAATGGTTTGGTTGTGGGCATGGCTCACCACATCGCAAGCCATGCTGCATCGTGATTTGGTACTCCTGAGATCTCCTGAGTAGATCAAATCCAAAGGTTTCTTAGGAGCCTTCCAATCCAAAACCCTCAATTCGTCTCTTGGAGCTCCGCCCTTCGTCTTGGAGCAACGTCATTGCTTTCACCATGGTGTAACACCATGGTGTAATTACATGTTTGGCAGCAAAAGACCTCTGCTCGCGTTGGGCTCCAGGTGTTTGCAACTCTGATCATGCCACCATGCCCACACTGAAATTTGATTGAATTGGGCCTCACTTCGAAAGTCATGCTTATGGATCTCTCAACGTTCCGCTTTTGGAGCCACTCCCAAACAAGCCCTTCAACCCTTCTAGACCAGTTGCCGTCCAGTCACCGGGTGCCTAGCAGCGAGCAACGTGCAGCTGAGCCGCCCCGCAGCCGCCTAGCAGCGGGCCCATGGCGCAAGGGGACACGCGTCAAGCAGCGCTGTTGAACAGCACCTCGGCGAAGGTGGATGGTGGAGACAAGTTGCCACTAAGTGCCTGCAGCCATGTGATACTTAAAGAGTTCCTGCATGATTGGCTTCCAAACGAGCTGCGTCAACGCGATGGAGATGTGCTCTCCAAACGAGCTGCGTCTCGGAAGTGGTGGTGCCCCAACTGAATTTCCACACTTTCCGTCGGTGAGTCCCCCATCAGGTCAGCGCAGACGTCCCCGCGCGGTGGCCGGTCGCCCTCAGGTGAGCGGAAGCTGGAAGAGGCCCGGCGTCAGATCAACAGCGCCAACCGCTCAGCACTGGCCTCTTGGCAGCCGAAACGTGCGGAGGCAATCGCAAGGATAGTATGTAGTACTATAGTACTTTGTCACTAGTACTTAGTACATCTTAGCACTGTATAGTTCCATGTAGTCATATAGTTCCCTTCACCTTGGAAGATATTTGAGGATTTTGAGGACGTCCCATGTGCTACCCGGAAGTCCACGGGTGTTTTTTTGATTTGTGCCAGCCCTGGAGGTGGGGTGATCGGGTCTTTCATCCGTTTGATGGCGATCAAGCCCTGTAGGGGTTCCATGGCCTCCAGCCTGATCCCGCGACCCGCCGGCGCCATCGTCCAGCAAGGAGACCGAGGAGGCGGGGTTTCAGACCTTGACGGAACTAAGTCGACAAAGAGATCTTTGGCAGCACGGGCAGCTGCGATCTGAATGAAAACGCGATTTATGGAGGCTTTCCAACGGCGTCGCCGTTGGAGAGGCAGTTCGTCCAACTCAAGGTCTATAGGACTCACTTCTACATCCTTGAAGGGAACACACATCTAGCATGTTGTTATTGGCATTTTCTGGCTCTTAATCAATTCCTGGTCAGAACGAGCTGATGCACCCTACCGTCGGAGAAAGACATGTTTCATGTGTGAAGATGCGACTCATGCTGAAACAGAGCTTCCTTGCAAGGCGTGTCGTGGTCGTGACCGCAGAAAATAGATCACGGCGTTTTAGATTGGATGGTTCGCCCGACCTGAGTCCTGAGTGAAATGGACACAACGTGGATTTGTGGCTGTCAAGATTCCCAAAGCGCCGCGCTGGATTGAACATGATTGAACCCATGAGCCCAAACATTTGCACATCCTCATCAATCCAACCTCCAACTTCACCATCCAACACATTCCGGTGCATTGAGTGATGCCTGGTCCTTACAATGCGTGCCGGAGGCAGAAGAATAGAGCACAATCAGTCACTTTTCTGTGAGGATTTTGTTGAGCAGGGGCAATAAAACGATTGGCCATTCAAATAATTACAAGTGCATCGCTAGTAGTAACAGGTGCCTTACTAGTAGTAACAAGAAGCTAGTAGGAACAAGAAGCTATTAGAAACAAGTGCCTCGTTAGTAGGAACAAGTGCCACGCTACTAGGAACAACATTCAACATGGACTTGCATGAAAGGATCGAACGCCGAAGTGCCGTCGTGCTGTCATGGAATTGCCGTCCTCGTCCACGAAATCGAACGAGGAGAGCATCGAGCGCATCGGAGGTCATGTGCAGCAGATGCTTGGCAATCCGTTGGGTTGGACAAATATGATCATGACATATTGGTATATTGGAGATAGCAGATAGCAGCAGCAGCAAGATGTAGCAAGTTGGCAAGTGTGATTTTCGATCTTTGGACCGGAACTTGCTGGAGTTGCATTTGATTTGTCCCTAGTAGTCACCCCAAGGAGTGGTGGAAATTCACCGGTGGCCAATCCAGGTAGTGTTTGATTTGATTACAAAATCAAACAGGCGCTTGTTGGTGATGGTGGCTACTGGCCTCAGTTTTGGGGCTCACCATGCCCTTGCAGGGGATATATGGCAGGGATATATGGTCCTTTAGTGTGAGATGAGCTTTGGAAAAGGTGGGTGATACGCTCTCATACCGCACAATCAAGGTCATGGCACAGTGGCAACAGCTTCATTCACCGATCAAAAATCTGTGAAGAACCCCAGGATGGATGACAACATCGGTGGCTCTCGCAGAGTGATGATCCAGATGTATCGCCGGGCCATGGCACCTCGCCGGCCGGAAGCGTTGTAGAGAGAGAGAGAGAGACAGAGAGAGAGAGAGACTGCAGTAGGTTCCTTCTCACTCCCATGTGTAAACATCTGTAAACAGGATTGGACGGGCAATGTTCTTTCACATAAATTCATCTACAGCTTCGGCACACCAGTGATGCAGCCCAAACACACTCCTTCGCATGGGCTTCCAGGTTTTGGGGAGCAGTTTAAAGTTTAGACTTGATCGCATCTACGAGCAGTGCTTGGTGCTAGTGGCTAGTGTTTTGCGTGCTCATCCACAGCAGCTGCAGCGGTGGCACGTGGTGTTAAGATGTCCACGCAAAAACCTAAGCGCTTCGCAATGCTTCGGTACAGAGTCGAACGGAAAAACAACTCAGGTGAAGAGAGCGGCCCTGTGGTGCATGCTGATCATTCTTTTGGTGACCATTGTAGTGATTTTCTATTTCTTGGTCCTCAAGAACGACAAGAAGTGATGGTCTGATCGGCCGCGCTGGTTTGATCAGCAAGGCTGCAGCAACAAGGAAGCACCATTTTGTTGGTTTTGTATTTGCCGCTTGAAATGGCAGGACTGGAAACATTTGTAGGTTCTTGTAGGGGCTCAAAGCATCACATAATACATGTTTAAGAAATATACAAAATAACTATTCAAGAATTGACATGATATGACTGATATGACCATCATGAATTATTGATGTACTGCGTATATATATATATATTTACACATGGCATACCCTTTCAAAGTGTAAGCCATCAGGTGGATTTCATACTCCCAGTTGTGTCCCAAAGGTGACGGGCAGTGCTTCAGATCCGGACTTTCAGAAGCGGAGAGCACAGCTAAAATCTATCCGATTGATTCCCTGGGTAAGAAGGGGCTGTACACCCCCCTTTTGCTTAAGACCCTTTTCACGAAAGGTAGCCCTTTAGGGGATACCTTGAGTTTGTCTTGCGAAGCAAGTGTTGGGACGTCCGGGTCTAATAATTGATCACTCAATTCAAACCCCCCCCCACCCCCCCCTCGAATTGATTTCTCAATACAGACCCCCCCCCCTCCCCCCCCCTCTAAATTCAATTCTCTCCTGGAGAACGTCTTCGTGAGCCTTTCATGATTTCAGGATAGTTGAACATTTAGAAAGAGTGCATATGAAATTCGAATCACGAAAGGTGTTCCCCGAGGGGATACATACCTAGAGTTTGTTTTGTGAAGCACGTCCATTCTCTCCTGGGGAGCGTCTTCGTGAGCCTCTTATGGTTTCAGGATAGTTCAAATCCTATGATGCTCCGATTCAATGCTCACCGATGATCTGATCCATGGGGCAAGTTTGTTTTCCTAAGAATCTTTTTGAACATTTCCAGAGCATATGTTTGAACAATTAGAGTGCATATGAACGTATATTTACCATTTACGAAAGGTCGCCTCCGAGGGGATAAATCACCATGTCGAACATTGCATTTTTGTTCCTGCCTCTCGCGTTCTCTTCTCTTCCCGCTGTCCTACCTTTCGTGTCTCCCTCCTCTCAAGTTACGTACTAGAAATTGGTCGTACTGTCATTGGTCGAAGGTATTTAACTCTCCATCCATTCAGACGTTCGACCAGTTCTCCCAAACAATCGGTTTGCACACCGATAGCATGGTCAAAGTGGCACTGGAGGTATTTGTGAGATTTTGATTGATGTTTTGAAGGGTTTCTGATACCCCAGCCACACAGTGGCGATGGGTGAGTTTCTGTTTATGTATGTGCTTTTGATATGATAGATAGTTGGTTTTGCCTCGATTCACGACTTGTGATGGTGACAAACCAGAGAAAACTACTGAAGTCACTAGGTAGTTGCCCTGCGGGCCTGGAGTGCTTGACCAAACCTGTCAAACTTCCATAGCCAGAAATCCTCAAGCATGAGGTCACCTATTGGATCTCGACATGCACAGGTTGCCCCGAAGGGGGCAGCGAGCGGAAAGGCCTTTCAAAAGGGTCCCTAAGCTGATCGGAGGGGTTAAGCTCACCCCAAGGGCCCCGGCCATTGGAAAGGCCATTGGAGTCGAGTCCCTTTGGTAGTGGGACTCCTGTTAGCAGACGAGTGTGGACCCTTGGTCGGTGTTGGATCTGGCAGTTGACATGGAAGAGCCCTCATGATGCTGAGACGATATCTCCCAGAAACAGAAGATTCTCATCAAAGCAACTGTAGACCTAGCAGCTCACTTATGTAGGGGAAAATTGGCTGGTTTGATGGAAAAGCATGACATGATCGTCCATGAAGATCATGAAGGTAGATTCTTGGAACCTGGGCGTTGCCGTTTGCTGTCCTTCGGCAAATTCACAACGCTCAAAAGGGGACACACACATGGATTGCCTAGCAGAAGGGAATGTGAACAATCTTTTCACACCCGGCGGCGGATTGTTGCAAACACAAAGTGCAAGGACGTGCTCCATTAAAGACGGGAACAATGCCCAACATGTCCCAGACACTCCATGTATGGCATGTATTAGCAGTAGTTGAAACAGGGTCAATGTAAGTATAAGTATATAATTAAAGCGGATTGTTTGAGTGAAAAACAACAAACACAAATCAAATCACCTGCGTGTGTGTACGTATATCGTATAGGATAAAGTACTAGGATGTGCATGCATGCACCTATTATGTACAGCATGCAGAGCCAATAACAATGCATGTACATCACGTATATATCAACACAAAAACGCACAGATAAACACAATAAGACGCATAATATATATATACATATTATATACCATATATAGATTATTATATATATATATGTGTGTGTGAGAATCCACAAAAGCTAAAGCATGTATGCATTTATCTCCATCCTTCATTGGCGACCTGCCTTTTGCGACCCCATTCCTGGAAGCAGCGACATCTAATTGCCAGCCTTTTGGGGGGCTCAAAAGAGTCCCTTTGGAAATCAGGATCCCCGACCATCGATGAACCATTTGGATGCACCCAGGTCTCAAAACACGGAGGCGCGGGTCTCAAAACATGGCTCAAAAAGCTCAGCGCACATATCAAAGTCAGTATTGACCATGGAGATGGTACAGGAAAGCAGTTGCTCAAAAAGGTCAGGCAATTGCGATGCGTACAGCCCGCCCAAAGTGGAAACAATAATTTCGAAAACGGCATGTTCATCCATTAACCTGGTGTCCTTTGATAGGCGTGATTCATTTAAGTCCTCAAAATGCACCGTTTACAAGCGGTGCTCGCACGGTATTTGTGGTGGCGAATTGGTCAACCCATCACTGGAATGCATTCCGAACAATATCAAACCAAATCTAACGCAAATAATCAAATATGTCGGTGCATCTCGCGTAGTACAAGCTAGGTAGTTGAAACGTGCTTTGGAAGGGGCTCCCTGCAAGAAACGATGCGTGCATGTTGGGGAGGCCATAGTGAGGGAGTTCGGAGTCACGGGAGTTTGGTGTGCCTAGAACCACTTTCTTCACGCACCAATCCCAGAAATGGGGAGGGTGGCCCAACCCAAGGCATCCAAGGCATCCAAGGCACAGCTTCTAAGTGGAGGGATGTCCTAGCCAAGCCTGCCATGTGCCATGGAGGGAGCTGCAGATGTGCCGCTTGGAACTGGTGGAGCCACAGCGATTTGTTGAATTCGCCCAGTGCTAGCGGATAGCTATGATGCCTTCTCGGGTTTTCTCTCCAAAACCATGGGTCGATTCATGATGAGTCATGTAATTATGGATGTGTATTTAAAATGACTTTCCCGTGTCTTCTCATTCTCACATGTTCTTTCCAAATCACGAGTAAATTCATACAGATTCCAGAGTGTTTGTTGCTTTTCTTCTTCCACCTGGCTCTGGGGCAAAGCCCCAGAAATGTTTGCCATTGTTTGCCCATATCGATCATGTAGCTGAGAATCGTGTCTGTTGTCGGAGGTCTTGCCACATTTCACAAGGCTGACTGCATGTGCGAATCAAAGCCCTACCACATCCTTTTGTTAGTTCGGGGTGCCTTATTCGGAAGCAGTTCTGAACAAACCTCCGACAGTTTTGAGGCCCAACGGGGCACTGTCCTTCCAACGTCTTTTGCACCTGGGCGATGAAGGGGAGGAGTGCCGTGAAGTCGGAGATTCAGATAGAGTTCATCCTCCAATGGATTCTTCAGGAATCGCCAGGACCGCTTTTTCCATTATGTTTCATGCCTCACCCAAACACTTGAAGGGACTCGCATGTTGACTGACTAGTTGCGGTGGTTGAAACGGGGTCAATGTAGGTGTGTAGTATTGCATTTTATTGTATATTCCATACATATTGTTTGGGTTAGTTAGTTACTGTGTTCTGTATTCCTGTTCTTTGATTTGGTGCTGAGCGGTTTAATTACTTCCCACAATGCCCACCATGGACATTTGGAGATGAATTCTGGCAGACTGGAGGTATCAAAGGAACGTCTCATGCTCTCTCATGGTTCATTCTTGCAATCCAAGCACTTGGATTCCCTTTGATTCCCAAAAACATTCCTAACTCCCCTCCATGAAGTGGAATTCCGGGTGATTGATTCATCCAGATTCATCCCAGATTGTCGTACCACACCGTCGGATTCGTCGTGTCGTACCACAGATATGTAAACAAACAGGATGACACGATGAGCCATGGACCTTGCTATCCTTCGAAAGGTATTTGTGCTGGATGTTGAGGTCAGCTTGCTTCCGGTTTGTGACCCCTTACCCCTTGTAACAACCTTGTTTGCTCAACGAATTCCAAAGCCACTTGTGAAAATGAGGAGCTGCACTCATGCGGCCTCAGTCGCGCGCCTGAGGGTCACTAGCACCTGCAAAGATTCCTCATACAGCTCAACTTGGATAAAAAGCCACCTCATAAGCTTAGAAACTCCAAGGGAGCTGCCACAGAAATATACTGTAAAAGTTAGACTATTTTAATACTATTTTATTGTCGTTTTCTCCAGGAGTTTCAGCTGGGTGTTTTTCCCATCCACTGCGTGGCACGGTGCAACCGATTTCAGCGGCCGATGTCTTCGCCAGGTGCATGGGAGCTCCGTTCCTGGAGGTCCGCGCAGAGGCGTGGGAGAGGGACGTACGTCGGTCCACAGACTCAAATAAGATCGGTTCCTAACTATAAAATCATTTAATGTTAGGACTAGTTAGTCATTCTATAGTTAGGACCACTTAACAATAGTTACTGTAAGATGGTTCCTATAATGTGAGTGATCTTGTGGCGGTAATGTGATCAATTTGTCCTGACAGTTTAACAGGATCATCAAACAAGATGGTCTAAAGATGGAAGATTTACCTCCATTGATCCTTTCAATGTGTCTTTTTATTAGCCACCTTGATATATATATATATATTCTAAAGGAGGCAAACACAAGATGTGAAGTTGACATCCACTCGCACTTGTGGCAGTCGGGATGTTTGCTGTGTGATGACACTATAGCTATTCACATATATATATATACATACGTATATTCTGAACATCCGAACCACACAGACCTCGGGCAAAGTTCTGAAGCAGGACCTGCAGAAATGCTCCTTGTGGTGGCTATATACTGGGGCTGTTCCCAGATGTCAAGGAACGGTTTTGCATGAACTCTTTCATGTGTTTATGGTCGGTATTCTGTATGGAATGTAGTATGTAGTGGTTGGGCGGTGTGTTCGTGGCAGAGGAGGGAGATGAACGACTTGTGTGACGCGTCACACACTACTGTGGTCCTCAGGTACCCCCCAGCCTCTTGGAAGACTTCAAGCTTCGACCCAATGCGGCGCGGGCACTCGGGGTGTCTCGAAAGGGGCAACTGCTAGCACTCGGCGTGGTCAGTCCGGCACTCATCTCTATGGTGAAGAATTCACCAAATCCAGCACAGTTGGTCCCTGACACATCCTGGTAGCAGGATTGGAATCAAGCAGGATTAGCAGGATTGGAATCCACTTGTCGTTTCCTCGGGTCCTTTCATCTCGCTTTCCTTGGGTCGCAACCGTGGCTTCGCGAGCTTGAGTCGTCCTTCCCTTCGTGTCTCAAGGCCCTTCTCTTCTTCGTAGGTGTCCAGGTCCCTTCAATCCAGGTATAAGTATAAGGTTTTCTTGTTTGTTCCCGAATGCGTAGCGAAGGGTTCCCGTTTATAGTTGGGGGTCTGGGGGTTGGAGCTGTGTTCGCGTGGCTTGCGTCGTGTCGTCGTCTCTCGTCGTCTCTCGTCGTCGTCGCGTCTCAAATTTGCTGCCATTGGGGGAAGCTTTTGCAAGTGACTTTGCATGGGCGTGTCACGTGTCAGTTTGCGACGCTATTCCATTGTGATTTGCATGACAACGACACGTCGCGCAAGAAACGTGATGCATTTCGCTGCACAGGCGCAGCGTTTTGTGAGATCCGCAGATTGCCGCGCAGTTCCATTGGGATTAGCGTTTGGAGAGTCGTGTTTTTGGGTGTTGGATGTGGCCGTGCCATTGGGATTTGCGTTTCAGGGTGTGGCATCGAAGCTCGGTTTTCGTGACAAGTCTCAGCTGAAATGGCGATTTTGGTGGATGGGAGTGTGCTCAGAACGGGTCGAAATCATTCCAAACGTGTGGTGTGGTGCAAATTTTGTTGAAGCTCACATGCGATGGTATTGTCACTTTTCGTGGCAGGCGCAGGACTTCGTGCGGGTTTTGAGGCGTGGAAGTGCAATTCTCGTGGCAGGCGCAGGGAATCGTGAGGTTGCGAGGTGTGAGGGAGGTGAGATTTCGTGGCAGGCGCAGTACTTTGTGCGCGTTAGACGTGTGGACGCGGAAAGATTCGTGGCAGGCGCAGGGAATCGTGAGTTTGTGAGTTGTGGTAGAGGTGAATGTCGCTGTCACATTGGGATTGGCGTGTGAGCGGATGTTGTTTGGAGGGGCTGGAATCGCGAAACTGCTTGGCAGGGCTGCGTGATGTGTGTGCTCCGATGGGTGTTTCCGCTTGACTTTTGGAGGAAGTCTCGTACGAAACGCTCGTTTTGCAGACTTTGACGTGTGAGTTTTTGAGGAAGTCTCGTACGAAACGCTCCTTTTGGAGACTTGACGCGCAACCCTCTGCAGAGATCGTGCGCGTCGAGTGCGCGAAATGCAGGCGAGAGTGCGATTTGTCCCATGCGCACGCAACCCTCTGCGGAGATCGTGCGTGTCGAGTGTGCGAAATGCAGGCGAGAGTGCGATTTGTCCCACGCGCGCGCAACCCTCTGCGGAGATCGTGCGTGTCGAGTGCGCGAAACGCAGGCGAGAGTGCGATTTGTCCCGTGCCCGCGCAACCCTCTGCGGAGATCGCGCGTGTCGAGCGCGCGAAATGCAGGCGAGCACTGGCGACTTTGTAGTACAACTTTAGTACGCGGGGTATCTGGGGAGCTGGAAGATGAGAACTGGTGACTCGATAGTACAACTTTAGTACGCGGAGCAATCTGTGGAGCTGGAAGCTGAG